TTTCAAATTATATATAAAAGAAATTATGAGTGCTGTCAGCACAGGGCAAAATTGTATTACGTAGTTAGTATCAGCAATTTCTTATGCTGAAGNAAAAAGAAACAGCATTGGATTGCGGTGACGAGGCAGCTGTCTGGTTCTCTAGGTATATTTTGGAACAAGATTCCGGTTTAAGGTTGGGTTTTTATCCTTCTGAGAAGAGACGAGATATCTCAAAATCTCATGTGAAACACTTGAAAAGCTATAAGAATCTCAGTAACGAAGCCACGGTAGGTAAATCAATTGAAATGCTGTTAACAATATGATATTATACTAGCTTTTCCTGGCGGTTTCGCTCGTAACAATTAATATTGCTTCTCCATAAAACCTTTTAACTCCTAATTCACCCCCACAAAGTTTTCATTTAATGTAATTATGCCATCTTAGATATCAAATATAAAGGTAGCTACATTTTATCCTTAAGGGTTGATTTTTAAAAATTGCCAAAACACGCATTTGCTTAATTTCAACAGTAAGTATTAAGTGCAACCTTCGTGTAAATCAGACTACAAATAAGATATACCTCATGGAAACGTTGCAACCTCTTTTCATTTGATTAATTATATCAAAGAGCGTAAAGTTTCAAGTAAATTCAACCACAAATAAAATATGTTTGAAACAAAAATTTCAACCCCTTTTCTCTCAAACCGTATACTTTTAACCTCTCCTGCTTTGAAGGTTGAATTTTTTAAAATGCCGAGATAGGTGTTTCACAAATTAAGGATGTTTGGGAGGTATTTGGAAGAACGTTCCTCATTCAATTCTATAACTCCTGTACAAATTACAAATCGATTCACTAAACCGTTAAAAAGTTATTTAAATTTTAAAAAATTGTAATTTTACACATCATTTTATGGAGATTCGTTAACCGAATAGATTAAATTTATTTTTATTAACAGAAAAAAAGCTACCAGAAATTTCAAACTTTTATAATAAGTGACTTGAACTCTGGAGAATCACTTTAGCGTAAGGTTATTCAAATTCACTAAATGGNAATTTTATTACTCGGCGGTTTTAAGGGTCGCTGAACATGAATATATAATCGACGACGGCATACAATGAAAATTTAATTGAAAACTGAGGAAAAATTTTGTAAAATGATTATTTTTAAAAATGTTTCAAATTATATATAAAAGAAATTATGAGTGCTGTCAGCACAGGGCAAAATTGTATTACGTAGTTAGTATCAGCAATTTCTTATGCTGAAGTGTACGATGTGTTGCATACATATTTACAAACAATTCCTTTAAATTTTTAACACAAAGAAAGTTATTAAACAAATTTTTCACATGAGTGAATTTGGACCACTCCAAGCAATGGTGTTAACAGTTTCAACCTGAGAGTGACTGATAAGGGGAAGAAATTGTATTTATAAAAAATAATATATATCAAAACAACAGTGTACATATTGAAAAAAATTTAATTATTCAAAGCATTATCTTTAGAAAAACTTAATCAATATTATTTATCAAATCATCGAACATCGGAACCAAGGTACCTCGGAATCTACTACTACATCCCGGCTATAATTTATAGGGGGCATGCCCCATGTAGCATACGAGCCTCATGTGGCTAATGAGGGGTATGCCGATATAGGGATTTCCTCATAGATTCCTCATGAAAATCCCACCAAAAAAAGTGGTGATACCAAAATGAGGATTACCGTATGGGTTTTTCATACGGGTCTTAAGGGGCAAACCTAACACATACATAAACTTACAATTTAATCTACTTTATGGGGGCTCGATGAGGCAAATCCGTTTGAAAATACTCTCGGTAAAATGAAAAAACGTATAAAAAATAGTCACAATACCCTTGCCCAATTATGCCGTCGTTTCAATGAAATCTTTTACATTTGCAACTAACCAACAAGGGTACTTCCTGATATTATTATTATAAGACAACTGAAACCGGACGCATCAGGTCGAACAACAGTAAAACGATTGCAATTTAAAGTATTATTGACTACAAAACAGTCCAATAACACAATCGTATTTAAGATTAAACAAATTTTACAAATAAGTGATATACGTATATATTGTATTTTTTTCATTAATAATAAAGTTCATTTTTCCAAAAATTTTTAATGGGGTAGCAATAATTTTTCCCCGCGCGGGCCACATACGGCATTCCTGATGATGCGCAAATGTGGCAAGGCGTTACATGCCCCTTCCTTACCCTAGGGGCAACCTCATGTGGTAGTGTGGCTACCCATTTAGGGACCCCACCAGTACCCCCCTCAAATTCTAGTCGGGATATTCGTGTTCAGCGACCCGCAAAACCCTGATAAAATAATTTCATTTGATTTTTAATAAAATTAAAACAACTCATTGAGACGACGTATATGACGATCGCCCTGGGCTCCAGGTACCTTGGTGGTTGTCGCCCAATACATGCATATTCATGTTTGGCGACCCTCAAAATCCCCGAGTAACAAAATTGTTTTTTTTTATCATTATTGACCAAGTTGCAAATTTTTTTCATAACAACTTTTTTTTCTTATGCATCTTGTATTTTTGAAGATGAATTGATCTCATGTTCACAAAGTTTGTAAGCAGAAAACTGCATCTCGATCTGACTTAGTACACAAAATTCGAAGGTTCAGTGTTTTTTTTCCTAGACTGTACAGTAAGTGGGCATTTCAAAGTCAAATAACTCGCTGGATTGTAATCATATCTCACATTAAAACATATCAAATCGATCGAAAAACAACTTTCCGTGCGGGTCAAATTTTGGCTTCATTATTTTCTTTTTTATCGATGCTTTGTATCGGTGAATTCATGTCTTCAATCCAATTGTTCAATTTTTTCAAGATATTGGACGAGGTTTGTTCAGATTTGTTTTGTTTGATGTTTGATTTATTATTTTTTTTTTTGAAATCGTCCATTTATTGTGTCTATCTCGTCTCTATTTCATCTGCTTCATTTATATATACGTATTTATTTTAAATTAAACGTTTACCTGCAGAAAGCTATTAAAACTTATTTTTGTAATTAGGAAAATAAAGAGATTGATATTGATAACAGGATTGAAATATTGAAACGATTTTTTTCAATACTAGGAAAAGTAATTCTTTTATACTATTGTAACGTATACGCATGAAAAATGGTTCAAAAGAAAAGTTTTCGATAACGAAACATGGCATTACAATTAAAATTATTTAACAAAGCCGGTAAAACTATCCAAATACAACTTATTTTATACGAAAACGCAGTTATGTTGTAGTTTAATTGGTGGCTTATACTTTTCTTTCTTATTTTTCTTGTTGACGGAAAATTTTACTTCGGAACTAAACATTCTAACAATAAGTAGGTATATTTCTCAGTAGTTTTCCCTTATAATTTAGTTAGCTAGGTGTTAATTAGGAAAGGTTGTTTGCCATCAAGTAATGATATTAAAAGGGGCACACTGTTAATTAAATAATCATCGAATTTTGAAGGTAAACTTTGGAGTACTACTAGATGTACCTAACACTGGCTAAAATTTAATCAAAATATCTCACAATGTCAGAATTATTTCAATTAGGAAATTAGTTGGGTACTGTATCGTATTGAAGATATAGATAATACTAAGACAAACGTAGTGCCCCGATATTATAATTTTCTTGAATCAAAATTTTAATTAATATGTAAGTACTAAGTTAAAGGATTAACTAAACTAAAAAAAAATAATCTTTTCCTAATACTTTTTAATTTGCCTCATTTTAGCGCAAAACTCTTTTTCGATTAAATTACAGTTTACCGCCATTTCACAATAAATTATTAGACATTTTTAATTTCTGCTAATTAAGAAAGCAATTACTTAATGGAAATTAAACGATTAGACTGATCGATCGATATTTCATTTGAATATTAAAATTTGTAATTTCTCAAAAGCAATAAAAAATTCGAGGATGGTCAAACGGTTTTCCTTTCAACAACCACGTAATATTTTTTTATTAATAATTAAATTGTTTAACTGATTTGTAGAAAACATCGATAACCTCAATTTTGAATCAATAGATAAGAAATTTTTAGTATCTACATGATATGTTTAGTATGTCAATTTATTAAAAGAAACGCTTTATAAAATTAGACTCCATTCGAAGTGGTTTTTCTTTTAGTCAATACTGTTTTTGATAAAAAAATATCTAGCTGAATCCGACCAAGACTGGTCTTGCTTATTCGGTCTTGGTCTTGCAAGTTAAGTCTTGCCTTGCTTATTTAATCTAATCATCATAAGGTCGTCAGTCATTAGACTGGTTGACCTTGTGCTTGCATATTCGATCTTGGTTTTAGTCTTGGACTTGTTTGTTTAGTCTCGGTCTTAATCTTAATTTTGGTCTTGCAAAAACGCAAGATACTTAGAGACCAAGACTAATTTTGCTCATTAGCAGCGGAAAAATTCCCTAAATGTAAAAATCAAAAGTTTAATGTTATAATGAATGTACCAGTCATAGTGAATACCGAAAATATAGACATTTAAATCCACCCACTTTACTGCAATTGTTTAGTTCCACCTCGAACACGTTAAATTCAATTAAAAATCCTAGTTAAACGAAAGCATCACGGATATTAAAAGTGGACCAAAGGAACCTATCTATCTTTTAATTAGATGCTTTAATACAGTCAGTTAACTCCATGAAATCGTACCATCCTCTATCCCATGCATTTGCACCGATTTCAATTACAAGACAAAAATGACTTTTTTACAAAACCCTAGTATTTAAAACGCTAAATAGATTAGCTTTACGACATTTTACATATTTGCTGCCGCTTTTCTGTAAATACGTAATATGTATAGTGTTATCTAATAGATAAGCATTGCCAGTCGTCCAGTGTATTCATTATTTTAAATTTTGCGATAAGAGATTTTTGAAATAGTTTCAATAGTTTCACTATTGCAAAAAGTTGCACTGGTGTGACATTCTGTATCTTTGTTTTTCCGCTTAAGTGATATAACTTTTATCGCAATCTCGGCACATTTGACATTTCGCACAGATATTACTTGGTATACACCATTTATTACGTTAAATATAACGTCTGTACATACATACATACCTAATTGTGTTTACTACATCAACGTAAATGCACTGAACTAAATTTACTATATAGGCAGTAAAGAATCTATTTTTCTTGTTTTGATTCAACTTTCCCGAAATTTTAGTGATCCAGTTGATTGAAATAGACACAAAACGCAAAATGGCATTTAATATAAATGGTAAGTAGAATATGTTATTATTAATAAATATATATTAATAGATATCTTGAAAGCAATATGTACTTTATCTTTTATTAATTTTGCGTACGTATTGTTCTATGTTATGTTAAATAAGGTATTGTATTGGAAAACGGTAAATATTGACTGAATATTATAATTACGAATTTCGCATTCAAATGGGTTTTATTTCATATCTTCGTATCCATCATATTTTATGAATTAAATTTTTATTGAAAAATTCATGGATTATATCAGTTACGTACAAATATATTATCTTATTAAACAATACCGCAATTAATAAACAATTATTTACTTATTTCGAATTAAACGATAACACGGGTTAAGAAACTCAAATATTGAAAAGGAAAAGCAAACGGAATATAGAATTTGACCTCATAATTACCTTAACACATTATGATTTTGAAATACTTTAACTCCAAAATTCGAATGTTGTTAATTTAGCTTGTTTGGATTTGAGAATAGGGTATCTTGAAATTTAAATATTTTAGGGCAGTTATGGAGCCTTTATGTTTTTTTGTTTTTTTTTTAAAGATGTTGCTAAAGGGAAAAAGTTTCAGAATAGAAAGTAATCATTTTTGATTAATTTTTTGATGGTGCAATCAAATGTGGCTGTTGAAATTTCCAGGTACGCCCAAATTAGCATAATTCGAAATTTTAAGTCTAAAATCTAAAATCTAAATGTACTGTAGCATTTCTGATGCCAGATTCGCAATCAGCGTAGCAAGCTACGTCGGAAACGATATCTTTGGTCTCACGATTACTTTCTTGATTCACCTTGACCTGTGTAATGGGCTTAAACTATTTATTTTATAATAAGTACCCAGAAAATACATGTAGTTAAATATATAAAATTGATATCGCTAAAACATGAAACATTTTAATTTGACAACATGTCCAAAACATCTCATCACCGTGAAATAAAACCTGATCGGTATTTTAATCTCTACAGGAAATTATTACAGGCTTTCGTTCGTTAGTTTGGTATTTCACTTTTTTGTATCTCGTTAAAACGCTTTTGATTATGATATGTTGTACCTATCTCTTTAAAATCAATCATTTCTATTTCATCGTCATTACCGTGAATAATCCTAAAATAGAGTTGTACATAAAACATTCAGGAGATAGAAAAAGAGATCCAAACCCACGGCAAATAAATAATTCAAGATGAAAGACTAACTTAGACGTCGATCGTACGTGTTAACCATTAATTTTTAATGAAAAATTAATGATGCTATTTTTAGAGCACCAACACATTCGTTACAATCCTCTGAAAGGCGAATGGGTGTTAGTATCCCCTCATCGTACATTAAGACCTTGGAGTGGTCAAGTGGAACCTAGTACAGGGAATAAAATTCCTCCCTTTGATCCCACCAACCCTCTTTGTCCAGGTGTAAAGCGCTCTTCAGGAATAACTACACCAAATTATACATCGACGTATGTGTTTACCAATGATTTCCCTGCGTTACTGGAAGAGGGACCAGAACCGACTCCTTCAGATGATCCACTATTCCAAATAGCAACAGCCAAAGGAACATGCAGGGTACGCAACATATTATACAGAGGGCGATAGGTCACATAAATCGGTGATTTTATAATCAAACGACACACCGGATCCTATCTCACTGCTCGTTTTGGATTACGCCGAAGGGTAGGAGAATGGGTGGTGGTTGCGAAAAGAAAGATGAGACTGACGAAATAAATGCAAAAGAGGCTGAAAGGTTATCTGCGAAATATGATTACTACCCCAGTATTTGCCTAAATAATCCAAGAAAACCTCAGAAAATCTTTGACCTAGCCAGATGGATCCGGAATAGGAATCGAACCGCGGAGTCTAAACCTCTAGGACATGCCATCATTCAAAACTACCCTCTTTGATGTGTAATTGATAATAATTAAAAGTAAACCAATGAGGTATTTGACTTTGAAATCACCCATTTACTACCTATCGCCTTTTGTATATCAAACTTTCTGTTAGATAGGTACGTACAAATTGATGTTTTTGACGTGACAACGTCTTATAATTCGATGGAGCCGGCTGCACGCACGAAAAAACATGACTCATGCGGCGTTACCTCGCTCTGAGGCGTTCCATTTAAGGCTTGAAGTGCAAGCGAGAGCGCGGAACGAGCGACAAAGAGGCACAATCGGCCTCCGCGTTCGGCAGCGTTCGACATCTCTGTCTTCTCCTACATGAGTGAGCGATGCGTCCGCGTGGACAGCTGCTATACAATAATACATTTCCATTTACCTCCTTCTCTATATCCATACAAAATATCTATCAAACAAATAAAATTAAAATTTTCTTTTGAAAAATAAAACCATTCCACCAGTATTTTCTTATGACGTTGTCACGTTCAACTATCGTCAGTAAACCGACTTTACAGACAACCGATTTCTTTTTTTAGGTGATTTGTTTCCATCCACGTTCTGATGTGTATATTCCAACGATGACCCTCGAGGAAGTGCGTTCAATTATAGAAGAATGGATTCGACAAATGAAAGAATTAGGACCAAAGTTTTTGTGGGTTCAAATATTCGAAAACAGAGGCGCTATGATGGGATGTTCGAATCCTCATCCTCATTGCCAAGTTTGGGCGTCAAATTTTTTACCCAACGAGCCCAGTATAAAAGACAAACATTTACGAGAATATTACGAAAAGTACAAGAAGCCACTTCTTCAAGATTACGCTGAAAAAGAGCAGCAGAAAGGTGAGAGGGTCGTATGTGAAAATGAAGAGTGGCTGGTAGTGGTACCGTATTGGGCAATTTGGCCTTTTGAAACGATGGTACTGCCCAAAAGACAAATACAAAGGTTTACTGATACCGATGAAAGTCAACGTGAAAATTTAGCGAAAATTCTCCAGCAGTTAATTACAAAATACGATAATGTTTTCAAATGCAGCTTCCCTTATTCGATGGGCTGGCACGGAGCACCCACTGGGCCAAAATTGAACGAAAACCAACCGCATTGGACTTTTCATGGGATTTATTATCCTCCACTGCTAAGATCAGCCACAATTAAGAAGTTCATGGTTGGCTACGAACTACTTGCCCAAAGTCAAAGGGATTTATCCCCAGAAAGTGCAGCGGCTGTTTTAAGAAGACAATCGGATGTTTATTATACGAAACAATAATTTTTATATGTTATAATGTTGTTGTTTATTTTATTCTTCACTTATATAATAAAGAACAATCCTTTAAGTTATAAGTGTTAAGTATTGCACCTACCTCTAAAGTCATAAAACACAGCAGCTTTTGTTTGTAAAGCTTAGGCAAAGTGTTCCTGAAACCTGTCAAATAAATGGGGGAAATTCCCCCTTCCCTTTTTAAGAACTGTGTGACTTATGGATTACGTGGTTCATTACTATTTAAAATTTTGTGTTGTTGGAGAAATCTAATTAGAATGTTTGCTCTGGAATTCCAGAAAAAAGTATAATAATAAAAAAATTGCTGCCCAGATTTTAGAAGGAAGCTAATCCCCTCGTTCCAAAAATTAGTTCTGGATCGGCTTCTGCTGATAGACGGAATGTAAACCATTAAAGGATTCACTTTCTCTCCAAAATTATCCCTATACTTTACTCTAAGGGAATTTTTGTAGTTTTGTAGATACTTCGGAGAGCTTTCAGAAAAAAACAATTAGAGGTTACCGATTTTTTTATTTTGACATTCTGCCGCCTGGTACCTCAACTTTAAGTAATTTCGAGCATTTTTTCTTATGCGACATATAGACGAAATCAGGACATATGAGATAAGAGGAAAGGGAAAAATTGAAAGAAAGATGTCGACCAAACCGCTTGGTTTTGACGGTATACTCCACTATCCGGTAAAAACAGTGGCAGAAAAAATTCGTGTGCTATTTTTCCGTACGTGAATAAATTAAAAAAAAAAATGAACCATAACTGGATCTAACAAAATGAAATATATTCTTTTCGATGTGTACGTTGACGAAAGGACAGTGGCAGAAATTTTGGTCGAGCCATTTTTCAGTAATTTGACGTTAAAATTTCGAAAATGCCAAATATTAAAACAACTCTGCCGCTACAGTTCTGAGGTTCTGTTAAAGCCAAATAACTGATAATTAGACCTATTACTCCTTCCTCAAGTCACTCCTAAAAGTGTTGATTTATGAAATGGCTACCCGAGTACATTTGGGCTATTGAAACGTTTAAAAATATTATATTTTTTAATATTCCAACCTATGCTTATCTTATATTTCCATTACTTGACATTAAATGTGTTGTAACTATCGTAAGGGAGATGAAAATGCGAGCTGTACATGACATTTATTTTACGAAGCGGTCAAAAATCAGGGTAATATTAATACAATTGGTCTACAATTTTTACCACTCGTATTTCCCAGTTATTTGGCTCTAACAAAACCAAAAAATGAAGCATAATCATATTTTCGGTCCAATTTTCGATATTTTGAAGTCAAATTACTAAAAAAAAATCGCCTCACCAAAATATCTGCCGCTATTTTTCTATCAATGTTTTCGTCGAAAAGAAAATATTCCACTATGTTAGATACGGTTAGGGTTCAATTTTATTTTTGAAGTGAAACTTCTTTACGCACGGTAGGGTAAGTTCGTTTCATGCGAGTTGCTATGTAACGAAATCATGCAGCGCATTAGATCTTTAAAACTACGCAACGGATTTTAATGCAGATTTTTTTCAATAGATAGAGTAATTCAAAAGGAAGGTTTATATGTATAATATATGCATAATATAGTAAAGAAACACTGATCATTTTAGAGGTTTGTAATGTGATGTCGTAAATAAACACATTTTTTGCGCTTACATTGCAAACGCTGACTGAACCCTACCAGATAGATCAAAATAATGTGCTACAATATTGTACATCTTAAAAGGGTCTACAAAGCCTCCGCGATGGTATATGTCTATCTCTTAGGGATAACCCACAATAACCATTTTTATCCTTTACTTTTTATGAGAAATAATGACTTANGTACATCTTAAAAGGGTCTACAAAAAAGTCCGCGATGGTATATGTCTATCTCTTAGGGATAACCCACAATAACCATTTTTTATACTTTTTACGAGAAATAATGGCTTGTTTACGAAGCGATTTTAAGCATGTAATTTATATGAATATTTTCGAAGATATTACAGACTTAAAATGCAGGGACTTTAGCGGTTGCGGCGGTACCGGCCGGTTTGTATTGTCTAATGCCAAAAAGGCTGTGATTGTTGTATATAAAGACATTCTATTGTATATTTACTATCAGCATTGCACCCGTGCGAAGTATAGTTAAACCGATTCCTTAACTCCTATCCCGGTATGTTTGAAGAAGTTTCACTTCAGTAGCGTGTTGTATAATTACACGTTGTATTTTTTTCCTTATCTAGAAACTTGAACTTTTTCTTACAAAAATTTCACTAAAACACACATTCTTATGATACGAGTTTTAGTTATAAACGCGTAAGTCGTGTGACCAGTCGTCCTTCGTTCTTTTTTAATGAACATAGAAAGCCAAGATCTCTAATTTGAAATATGATACATGTGTAGCTGCAACTTATTTTTTTGATACTTATTAGTTACCTACCTCTACTATACCTAGATAAATATTTAAAACTAAATTCAATTTTATACGAGAAATTTGTCTTTCTGGAAAATTTAGTACTTTTTTTTTGAAAACGTAATAAATTTCTTCGGCAAAGAAATCCTTAAACAATTATTCTTAGAATAAATATTTGTTGGAACTTACTTGTACCATCCTATTGCAAAAGCAATAAGTCCAACCGTAGCTGCCGCACTAATCCCAGCAACCACGGCGATCAAATACATTCCCGTCGGGTTGTTGAGACGTTGGGGATCTATCGGTACCATTTTGACTTCGCTTCCCACAAGAACTTTCTGGTATTCCGGCATTGTCTTCGACGATATCTCTTGGGTAGCTTCATTTCGAGGGCTAAGAGAAACTGCACCATATTCTTGTGCGAATTTGTTTGTCTCTTTTAGTACTTTACTTTCTGAAAATAATAAAGAAAATTTAATCATATACTAAAAAACTCATTTAATGGGATATTATACATAGATTTAATTCATCATTATAAGGTCGTCGGTCCTATGACTGGTTGGAAACGCATCTCCACTCTTTCTTATCCTAAACCAGAACAACCCACATCCTTAAATATTTGCGAATAGTAATCTAATCTAGGTCTAAGCGTAAAAATATTAGAATATATCCAGTTTAATGGACTCCGGCTTCAACACCATCTATCAATATTTAAAAATTATATCGAATAGAAACAGTACAGTAGATAACCTCAAAAACAATCTGAAACATCTCCTTTGCCTTTTTTTATAACTTTGTTTATAAAATTTATTAAAAAAATTCGTGAAATAGAAAGTAATAGATAGATACCAAAAGAATGAAAATGTCATAGTTGAGTAACCATTAAGAATTACTTAAAATATATGATTCTGGGTGTGATTGTGATATTCCTTGACATCGTCTATTTTCTTATTTTCACCTGACTATCTCACAGGACCCCCTGTATAAGAAAATTTAATAAAATACTTATTTTGACGGTTACCTAAACTAATATAGTTTTGGAAAAATAAATTAAAACATAATGCAAAAAAATCATACTATGAAAATGACAAATTGTCAAACAAGACTTTTTTGGCAGAATTGGTAAATCCCTAAAAAAAAGATGAAATTAAATGTTTATGGCAAAGTACCTGTTTTGAAGCAAAGCAAAAATATTTGTGTACATATGTATAAAATAATGATAACATAAAGGCTTCTGTTACGCAAGTACCATATGATACTGATTACGTGGCAGAGATTAGATAAGAACTAAATAATTGTACTTTTTTGTTATTTGTAAATAACAAACAGACGATGTTGAGAAAACTTTTTATAAATTATTCGTAAGGGAGATGAAAATGCGAGCTGTACATGACATTTATTTTACGAAGCGGTCAAAAATCAGGGTAATATTAATACAATTGGTCTACAATTTTTACCACTCGTATTTCCCAGTTATTTGGCTCTAACAAAACCAAAAAATGAAGCATAATCATATTTTCGGTCCAATTTTCGATATTTTGAAGTCAAATTACTAAAAAAAAATCGCCTCACCAAAATATCTGCCGCTATTTTTCTATCAATGTTTTCGTCGAAAAGAAAATATTCCACTATGTTAGATACGGTTAGGGTTCAATTTTATTTTTGAAGTGAAACTTCTTTACGCACGGTAGGGTAAGTTCGTTTCATGCGAGTTGCTATGTAACGAAATCATGCAGCGCATTAGATCTTTAAAACTACGCAACGGATTTTAATGCGGATTTTTTT